GAAGCTGGCGGCCGGAGGTGCGTGAACTCTCTCGAGGGCGTGGTTTTTTCCCTTTTATATCCGCAGGGGAGGCGGATTGTGCGGCGCAGCCAATGGCGCAAGGGTGGTAATTTGCGCTTTTCCTACATCTATTCGCTTTAGGAAGTCCCGGTCCCCGGGACTTAAAAATACTTTACCGGGTACAAGGGGCAGACCGCGGTGGCATGGTCGAGTTTGTGGCACCGCCGACAGAATGGTACGTCGTCGCAGCGCGGCTCCGGATGCGTGCCTATGCAAGAGGTGCACAGTGAGTTAACGTGGAAGAGTATGTACAGCCTTTCGTTGAGAGGTAGCGCGGAGTCGCAGTTGGCCGTTAGATGCGTTGTTTCGTTGCAAAGAACGCATGGGTCGAAGCGGCGTCTGCGGGCGGTTTGCTTCGGCCTCAAAGATGATGTTCGTTTTGGCGGTTGCGGCGGCGGTGTCGATTGTGGTGGTGCGTTTGTGCTCGGTTGATTGGCTGCGTGCGATGGCGGGGGTAGTGAGGAGTTAGTTAACGCCAAATATTCCCTGGTTAAGTTTGGAATGGGCGAGAGAGGTGCTGCACTATTGCAAATCCATGTGGTGGTTATGCGCAGAGGTGGAGAAAGTAGTATTATTGAAGGAGAAGATTGAGGAGATGGAGATTCATATGGAGATTCGTAATAAGATACACGAGGTGAATTAACGGAATAATTTGAAGGAGGTGGAGACATTACAACATATAATGGAGAATCAGATCGAGCAGGAGAATTATAAGGAGTTACATCTTGAGGCGAATGAATAGAGAATTCAGAGAGGGATGGAGAAAGTACAATTATTGATGGGGACACAGGAGGTGGAGAATGATGAGATACAGTATGAGGAGAATTAACAAGAAGCGAATGATGCGAGTGTAGAGAAGGAGAAGGTGACGGCGAGGCTTCAATACTAATTAAATCTTCTTGCCGGTGATAATTACAAAATATAGATGAAGTGCCTGGTTCATTGCAGATACATGTTGTTGGAGATGGCGACCGGTATGGAGGCGGCGGAGAGGAGTACCGGCGCCTAGCGGGCTTCGTTGAGGAATCTGACGATGTTGATGAGGTCCGCGATCTTTTGCGGCTAAAACGAAGAGAGCAGAGCGGCGCGTTTGTGGCTGACATCTGCAATGCTTTGTTTTGTCTCATTAACATGTTCCAGTGCTTTTAACAAGTTAAGCATGTTGCGTTTGGCATGCGGCGTGGCGAGGCGTGCTCTAATGAGGCGAGGTCA